TTTTCAGACCCTTTAAAGTTCATTAGAATAATTTTTAAAAAATGAAATAAATTTTTTGATGAATTATCATATTCAAATCGAAGCGTTTACATGTTTAAAAACGCAAAAAAAAAGATTTTCACCAATTTCAAACGATCCCATGTAAATTATCTTATTTAACGCAAAGTTATATCGTAAAATGGCGTTATTTTGTTTTAGAATACAAAACATAAATGATTTAGAAACGATATTATTACTAGCTATCATCGAAAAGTTTATAGTTCTATTAAAGACTATATTTATAAATTAATTAGAATTGAAATTTTCTAATGATATCTAATAACGAGGATATACAAATAATCTTACTAAAAACTATATCCCATGCTAAGAAGGTATATATATAGTAACAATTTTCATATTTAACTTTAATATAATTTATAAACAGACTTTCAAAAGGCTACATGAAGCCAAAACTGAACTCTCGATGATAGCTGGATTGGAGGCAGAAGAGAAAGATGTTATATTCCATTTTGACTCAAAACACAAATACAAAAGGTTTAAATATTGTTATTCAAACAAGGTTATTAGATTTAATATAATGGGGGTGGGCGGGAAAAAAGTATCAAATAATTTTTATCGCATAATTAAGTCATCCATATCCAATTATTGTCAAAAATGATTTTTTTTTATAATTATACTTTCCTATCCCAAATATGTATAAAGTTAAATCATAAACTAACGAGAATCCATTTCAATTTGTAAAGCCTATTTGTTTAAAAACTTACAATCCCTCACACTTAAAATGATATATATATATAAAAAAAAAATAGATTTGAACAATTTGCAAATACTTGTATTTCAAGACAACACATAAATCTATTTTTCATAATAAAGGCTATAACTACTAATACATTAAAATATACTCAAATGCCTAAATTCTATAAATAATATATAAAATTAAAACCTTATAAATTTGGTCATTTATATGAGAATAATGACCCTTCTATCAAACTACTCATGGGTAGGTAGCGATATTATATTTAAATTAATTAAATACATCCAAACCAAATCAAAAATCAACAAATTAGTTATTTAGAAAATTTTGCATACTAAAATTGAGAAAATAGGAATGTCTACCAGGGATGCGAATCCGAACCCGCCTTCAAAATTTTAAAATTGTTGGGCATTTTCATACCACAGACCAAACAGAGGCCGATTTGTGAACAACTCAGAACCCGGGGTAAAACGGACCAGGGACGGGTTTGGACCTCTCATAGAAAATTCCTCTAAATAGAGTTTATAATTCCTGAACCCGGGTTCGGGTTCACATCCCTGCCTAATACTATATGAAGCAGTTAAAAGATTGTGAAACATTATATGTTGTAGTGAAAAAAAATTAATACATACCTAATATTTTTACAGGCAATACTTATTCAAATTTTAATTTTTATAAATAAAAAGGATATTCGCATCAGAACAAAATTATTTAAACAAAATAATCTTTAAAAAAAAACAATTTGCATATGATCAAAATAATATTTAAATTATAATTTTAAAAAAAAATCTCATTCAGAAAATAATTTAATACTTGTAAAATTCGGAGTTTAGAATGAGAGAAAGAGAAATTCATTCCTACTCCAAATTTAATTAATCATTATAGAGATCAAGAACTGAGAATAGAAACAAACATAAAAATAACACTTATCTTTGCTTTATTATTATTACATTTTCGATTTTACTATTTATGCAAACTTTAAACAGTAAAATTTTTCGGTTTGATAAAACTACAAATATCTAGGTAAACTGCAAATGCTTAGGTAAAATTTTTTTGATATATTCTCTATTAATTGGTGAGTTTCATTTTCTTGTGATATAAATATTATAATTATTAAATATATTCAATTATAAAGAAAATATATATTAATAGTTGTATTTCCTTTTATCTCGTTTATATAGTTTAAATCGGTTTATATAATTGTCCTAGTTTTTGATTAATTTATTCATAGTTTTTAAATGTATTACTTATTTTTGTTTAATTTATGCTTTTAATCAATCGTTTGTTAATGTTGATTTGGTACAAATTATTTTAAGTTTTTATAAAAAATAATATTTAAATATCGTCGGTCTAAAATTGGAGTGCTCTCCACTTGCGCAAATGTTTAAAATGAGAAAATAAAACATTAAAAGTTTAAAATTAAATACAGGAAAAAGTTATTGATCATTTTTGATCAATAACATATGCAAAAATTATATATTTTATGAATCTAGAATAAGTTATTATCCACTTCTAACTTAAAAAATGTCGAGTAAGGCACTCTAGATTCTAGCAAGACGATACATGATTTAAATTTTTTCTTAATGAAAATATTTGGAAAAAGAATTGATTACTAAAAATTTTAGATAGAATTTTTCTATTTATTGGATTTTATATTTTTTGGAATTATTAATTATATTTTAGGGATCTTAAGACAAATATTTTTATTGTAAATGTATAATAAAAATTGATGATAAATTGTGTGTGAATTAATTAAATAATTATAAGAAACTTAGATAAGGCAATTGAGTGAAGATAAGAAAATTATGTTATAAATAGAAGGTAAGTTGAAGACTGTTAAAATAAATATTTTAAAATAATTATAATTACATTAAATTTCATCTAATATTAAATCCGCAAGTTAAAGTATTATTTTTAAATGATTTTCGTGAAATAATAATACGCTACTTTTGCAGATTTAATATTATTGTAATTCAAGATGTAATTATTATTATTTTTAATATTAATTATATATTAAAAGATTTATAACTTTTTAATTTAATTTTTTTTATAAGTTATTTATATCATAAGAAAATGAAATTCACTTCAATTAATAAAGAAAAATATTTACATAAGCATTTGCAGTTTAGTCAAACCCCCCAAATTTACATATCAATTTTTAACAAACTTATCATTTATTTTAATATTTTTACAATTCAATTTCGCTAACTCTTATAATCAAATAACATTTTTTATAAAAACAATCACAATTACGTCACTCACAACAGTTGACATATAAGATACCATATAATTATCCATAATTAATTGCATATCATTTTCCATTTATAAATATGCTGGCTCATTTTTATATAAATGTAAATCAGATGCTAAATTTAAATGCAAAATAAATATTGTTTTATTTTTTTTTTGTAAGTACTGAAATGGTATTGGTCAATTTGTACAAGGACACTGAATCCGAATTAAAATCGACAGACAACAATTGGGGCAAGCTAAGGATCTTCCTTTTCAGGATTCTCTTCGAACTAAAGGATTACAATAATCTGCTTGTTTATTTCCAAAATCAATACGATATTTATTGATGACCCTAATAATTATCGATATTATATAAAATTGTCATCAAATAGTAACGTTTAAAAAAAATTGTATCGTTTAAATTTTTTTTTCTATCGTTTAAAAATTGTTATATATTATTTGAAGATAAAAATCGGTTTGATTTATAACTTATTTTAAAAATTACATACTGCCCTTCTTTCAATGCTACTTCTTAGAAGATGAGAGGACACTGGACTAGAGGTAAGCGATGAGCGAGTTTTTTTAGCCCACTAATGGGAGCGAGTGAGCCAGTTCTCTAAAATACTTCAAACATTGGGTGGGTTAAAAATATGACTCTTAAATAAATGGCGGGTGAATTTTAAATATTTTTAATACGAAATGAGCAGAACAGAATTCTATTCCTTAATATCACCTTTTTTATCAATTCATAATATTGCATATTTTATAAGTTTAATTAAAAAAAACTTTGAAATAATTTTTCATACATTGGGCTGGCGTGAGGGTTAAACAAGATTTTTAGACAAATAAACCAAAGAAGCGGACGAGTGAGCATAAAAAAATTTTAAAACAATTGGCGAGCGTACTCGAAATAAAATCCGCCTTTCGCGGACCTCTAGGGTTAACTGAACCCCGCAACCGATAGTTAAATTTTTAAAATGGATGAGAACAAGTTAGCAAAATTTTATTTAAAAAAAATGATATAAATATATTTTAAAAAATCGGATATTAATAAAGAAGTAATAATTATTAATAAACTTTGAATCATAAATAAAGTATAAATATACTATTTAATGGTAATGTAAATTTTTATATTTATAATCACTGGTTGTAAGATAATATCCAATTAAAATATTTGGCAATTACATAATATCAACTTTAAAAATTATTTTTAAAAAATTTAAAAATAAATGGGATTTTTTTAAAAATTTTTGTAAATAAAAAAAATATCAATGATTTAAATAAAGCTGTTGTAATCACGTATTACATAATACTGGATAAATAATTAATTAATTTTAAACATCCAAAATCTACTTTTTAAAATATAAATAGGCCAGACTAAGCATTTACAAAGCAAGCCTTAAAATAAGTATAAATATCTATTTTATAAAACCAGGATGCTAAGTATCATTCGTAAAGTCTCTATATATGTTAGCGTCAATGTGTTATTTTTTACAACTTTAAATCATTTATTGAAATTTAAAAATATGATTCTACCGGAAATTTATTCTATCATGTTTAAAATATCTATCTTATGAATTGCAAGCAATTTTGCTGTTAACCTTTGAGTCATTTTATAATTTATATAAAAAATATATGGAAAATTAAATATAAATTATATTAAGTTTAAATGTTCAAAGAAAAATTGTCCGAAATTCATAGAGCAGGTATTCCTGGACATGAACGGCATACATTTAAGGCAAAATCAGATTCTTAAATTTTAAAAAACGCTATCAGAAAATGATACAAAGTTGAAAAAATAACACATTGCCGCTAACATATATAAATATTTCCAAAAAAAGGTATATAATTTATTGTGTTATCGCGAATTGAAATGATTGTATTAAAAAAAATCATTATAATGTGTATTTTTTTTTAAAAAAATTGCTAATATTTATACAAAAATTAAATTTATATAAAGGTGATAAAAAAATGATATTTTCCTTATATGTTCAAAATTTGTAAATAAGTTATTTTTTAAAGCAAAAAAAGAATTCCCTAATTAAGTCAAGATTATTAAAATAAAATATTATAAATTTTTATAAAGGATTCAAACATAATTGTTGTGAGTATAATTAAAAATCCATTTTTTTTTAAAAGAAAGGTAATGAAAATTGAGCTATAAATGTCCCACTCCTTAGAAGCAATCAAAAAGGCGCGATTTTGTCCGTAAATGAATGGTTAAATCAAAACAAATATATAAAATAACGAAATAAGGATAAATATTTTTTAAAAAAAATTTTGGTCAAGGTTTACTAGGCAACAGTGCTTGCTTATCGGAATCGTCCATGGATATAGCAATTTTGGCAGATTTACTTCCGTTATTCATAGACGTGTTCTTAACTAATTTAGTCATTATAATATTTCATATATTATATAAAGTTTAAACTAGGTATGTATATATATATATATATAAAAATCATAGTTTGAAACCGGAACCGGAAATAGAACTCACTTTTTAAAATGTTAGGAAACCTGTTCCTGAATCATTCCAACAAAAGTACAAGTAGTTTATAAAAATTATTGCATAAAATGCTGTAATTCATTTTAAATAAAGGGTATTTATTCCGATCCTTTTTTAAATTTTATCTTTCGAGAACTTTGTTGCTCGAAATCGACCCAATGACAAAAATATTGAATTGCTGACGTTATCCGTGGAAAAATATTCATTTTTGTTTTATGCGCGTATATTTACGTGTTAAGCATTATTCCCAAAAATATTAGCCGACCACTTACTAAAATATTTAATCATTTTTTCTATTATATACCATCAACCTCCCCGCCCCTTACAATATAAATAGGGATGCTCTACTGGATGCCCGAGGTAAATAAGTTCGCTAAATATTCGCTATCGCTATTAATGACCACGACTTTAACATCGTTAGGCTCTAATGACCCGACCTTTTTTAAAGAGTCGGGCCATGGGATCTCTTAGAATCGAGGATCCCAACGAGGGATACTACCTACGTCAGAGGTTGGCCCAATAAAGTGCAATCATCTCAGCGTTATACTTTCAAAGACCGAAGGCCCCTGATTGAACATCCTGTGCATAGGATACGTTTAGGCCATTTTGCTCACAATTATAACGTCGGCGTTAAAAAAGGAACTTGAATCTCAGGTGATAAAAGATCAGCAAAAATTAATGACAAAAACAGAAACGTTAGTTGTTTTATTCCTAACATAGTGTGCATGCAATACAGGGTTAAAAAAAATGAATATGTAATAATTGTACCTTTAGAAGCTGACATTTCCGAGTGCCTTATATGAGTGTAAGCCATACTCCCACCTAACACGATAACGTTGCTCAACCACCAGGTTAAGGATTTGATCTCGTGGTAATACAAAACGCCCAATAAGGTCTGGAAAGCCGCCTTGGCGGTTCCGCTGATATTGTGAGTTAGCGGGGATGTTACCTGAAATGTTTTATTTATATCATAGATTAGACGTGCTAATTAGTGAATTTTTAAGCGATTAAATTTAGTCGCGACTAATAAACGAGTCGAATTTTTGGTCGAAAAATTGACTGCGACCTCGAGCAGCTAAATTAGTCGTAAATTTGGTTGGCTAATTTAGTAGATTAAATCGAATTTTTGAGCCGAACATGCATCACTGTATAAGTTGGGTCGGTACGAGCCGATTTTTTATCGGCTTAGCCGAAGCCGATTTTGATTGGCTAGGACTGAGCCGTAGCCATTTATATTTTAATTTAGGCTTAAACCTCTCGACCATTATTTTTTCCGCTTAATTAATTTGTCTATATTTCTCACAAGTTCAAAAATTGAATTATATAGACCGGTGTACATTGAGGACAGGGGAAAGCTAAGTCATTCCAATTATAATTTGAGCTATTATTTTATAGGACTGGAAATTTGAGCCTAAACATAGCTAATTACGTCATATATGATTGGTTAAAAAAGATTTGAAAAATATTTAAAAACTTTATCGTTCATATTTATAAATAGAGCCTTAAAAATCTTAATAAATAAGATTTTATGAAAGTTTAAACCCAATTTTTCAATCTGAAAAACTTTCAGAATCAATAAACATGAATTAATAAGATTTAGGATGATATTTATAGAGTTAGTGGGCTCGGTCATAGTATAGTTGGGACAAGCTATTTTAGCTCATTTTATCATTTAATAGTGATGCGGAATTACAATAAAAATGATAGGAAAATCTTCTGTACAGAAGATTATGAAAATGTTTTATATTTATAACCAACAACCTCAATCAGAAAGTTATCATTACTTACAGGTAAGATTATTTATATTATTACATATATATTTTTTTTAGATTTCAAAATTATATATAGCTAGATATTTATCAAAAAAGAAGAAAATTGAAAATAATTCAATACCTACAATGGAATATTCAAATCATAAATGTGTTTTTATTAAAGTGGAGGAAGAAAATATAGCTAATTACATATTAAAATCCTCTAAAAAAAATTTCTGGACTTACGAAAAAAAAGGAAATAAGATCAGCTAATTACAAGATTTTAATTTAATATTTTGTATGCAATGATTAAGGTAAAATTATATTCAAGTCCTTTATAGGTTTAATGAAATTTATTTATTCTTATCCTGGGATTTTTCACCATTTAAAATAATATCATCTTAATAATTTTTAAGCATGAAATGAGAACATTTTATTATTAATTTAGTATAATAGCTATAAAATATAAGAAAATTCCACCCAATTGGGGTGAACTTAAAATGGCGGGCGATGAGTGGTTCTCTGGTTTTATGAAAAGAAATTCACAATTATCTATACGATCTACAGAAGTTACAAGCTTGGTTAGGGCCTTTCGTTTTAATAAATCTAGTGTATTTTTTAGCCTCTACAAAGATATTCTTGATAAATATAAGCTGCCACCATCAGCAATATACAATATGGATGAAAGTGGATTAACAACTCTACAAAATCCCAGTAAAATAATAGCTCAGAACGGTCAAAAGCAAGTTGCAACTATGACATCTGCTGAAAGAGGAACCCTAGTAAACATAGTTAACTCTATTAATGCTGTAGGGAATGTCATCCCACCTATGATACTTTTCCCAAGGAAAATGTTTTTTAGTCCTTTTATAAGAGATGGACCTAATGGTTGTATAGGCCGCTCAAATGTGTCAATTTGGATGCAAGAAACGAAATTTTTGAATTATTTACAACATTTTGCGGATCATGTGAGGCCACTACCTGGAAAGCCTGCGTTATTTATAGTTCGCACCCATCTATTGGTGCTATTGATTTTTGCTTACAATCTGGCATTATCCATACCACTCATATAATGCAACCCCTTGACAGGTTCATTTTTTGGCCATTAAAAAAATATTATAATAACTCCGTAGGCTACTGGATGTGCAGCAATCCAAATAAATTATTTAATATTTATGATATTCCAAAAGTAGTAAAAGATATATTAGCACTCGCCCTAACTATTAAAAACATTATTAAATAATTTGACAAAACGGGCATATATCCTTATAATTCTTATACATTTGGAGAAATGGATTATTTACACATAATTTTTTAACAACAATAGCCAGACAACATTGGAAAAATCAACACCTGAACCATTAAATATTTCGAACCCTGTAAATTTAGAAAATAATACCTTACTGGCCTCAGAGCCACAAGAGGTTACAACTTCTCAAAATTAAAATGATACAAGTCAATATAAAGACGATAATTTATTTGATAGAGTAACCATAGTTCTCGCTATTGCTTTAAGGAATGCCATCCCGCCTGTGTTCCTTTTTATAAGGAAAATGTTTTTGGTCATTTCATAAGAGATGGACCTAATGGTTGTATAAGGCGCTCAAATGGGTCAAGTTGGATCCAAAGAACGGAATATATGGATTATTCAGAAGATTTTGGGGATCATGTAAGGCCACTACCTAAAAAGCCTGTGTTGTTGATTCTAAACTAGTTCGCAACAATCTCTTGGTGTTATTGATTTATGCTTAAAATCTGCCATTATCTAGCTATCCTTACCTCACATATTCTTAATATCAAATAAATTATCTTCTTCATATTGACTTGTATCATTATAATTTTGAGAAGTTGTAACCTCTTGTGGCTCTGAGGCCGGTAAGGTATTATTTTCTAAATTTACAGGGTTCGAAATATCTAATGGTTCAGATGTTGATTTTTCCAATGTTGTCTGACTATTGTTGTTAAAAAATTATGAGTAAATAATCCATTTCTCCAAAAATATAAGAATTATAAGGATATATGCCCTTTTGTCAAATTATTTAATAATGTTTTTAAAAGTTAGGACAAGTGCTAATATATCTTTTTCTATTTTTGGAATGTCATATAATTTATTTGGATTGCTGCGCATCTAGTAGCCTATGGAGTTATTATAATATTTTTTTAATGGCTTAAAATGAACCTGTCAAGGGGTTGCATTATATGAGTGATTGGATAATGCCAGATTTTAAGCAAAAATCAATAGCACCATGAGATTGGTGCGAACTAGTCTAGAATAAACAACGCAGGTTTTCCATAGTGGCCTCACGTGATCCGCATAATGTTCTAAATAATTAAAAAATTTCGTTTCTTGCATCCAAATTGACAAATTTGAGCGGCCTATACAACCATTAGGTCCATCTCTTATAAAATGACCAAAAAACATTTCCCTTGAGAAAAGTATCTTAGGTAATATGGCATTCACAGTATTAGAGAAAACTATGTTTACTAGGGTTCCTCTTTCCGCAGATGTCATAGTTGCAACTTGCTTTTGACTGTTCTGAGCTATATTTTACTGAGATTTTGTACAGTTGTTAATCCACTTTCATCCATATAAATATATTGCTGATGGTGCCAGCTTATATTTATCAAGAATATCTTTATAGAGGCTAAAAAATAAATCCAACACTAGATTTATTAAAACCAGAGGCCTTAGCCAAGCTTGTAGATTTTGGGGATCGTATAGATAATTGTAAATTTCTTATAAACAATCATCGCCCGCTATTTTAAATTAACCCCAATTGGGTGGAATTTCCTTATTATATTTTATTGCTACTATACTAAATTAATAATAAAATGTGCATTTCATACTTAAAAATTATTAATATAATATTATTTTAAATGGTGAGAAATTCCAGGATAAGAATAAATAAATTTCATTTAGCCTATAAAAGAATGGAATATAATTTTACCTTAATCATGGCATATAAAATATTAAATCTAGTAATTAGCTTATCTTATTTACCTTTTTTTTTGGTAAGTCCGTAAATTTTTTTTAGAAGATTTTAATATTTTCTTTTTTCACTATAATAAAAACACAGTTATGATTTTAATATCGCATTGTAGGTATTGAATTATTTTCAATTTTCTTCTTTTTTGATAAATATCTAGCTATATTTGATTTTGGAATGCCTAAAAAAATAATATAAATAATCTTACCTGTAAAGTAATGAGAACTTTCTGACTAAGGTTGTGTTGGATATAAATTTAAAACATTTTCATAATCATAAATATATCTCTTAAAAATTTTTTTTTAGCTGGGTGAGAAAGGGTTAAAACAAACAAAGGGCACTATTTAAGAGTTAGTAAAAGTCATGCTATTATTTTTGCCAACTAATGGCAAATATCAAATTTGTGATATTAGAACACAGTATATATTTTATATTCTAAAAATTATCAGAAAAACACTTCATATATTTGCATAACAAAATTATACCAATTGAAAAATTTGCCAACTATTTTTGAAGCTAATTGTGAAAAGCCTCTTATCTCCAACTGATTAAAATTTTTAATATATTTCTAAAACCTTCATGGAAATGATTAATAATTTGAGTAAGAAATAAATGTTTTTTTTTTAAAATAAAAATTTGATTTTCAATAATTATTTAAAAAGTTGATGAAAATGTGTAAAGGTGAACTAAGATTTAGTTAATTTTTCGTTTTGTTTCGGAGGGAATTTGAATTTAAAATACATTTTGATTTAATTAAAGTAGTGCAGAACCGTGTCAAAAAAAATGGTATGAATTTATAAATCCGGGCCAAATTACTTAGATTATAATAATATTTTGCTTAATATCATACAGATACAGACTAGGTATCCAATTCGTTTATTTTAATTGTTTTGTTTAATTTTCACCAAACCTGATTATATTCGTTAGGGCTAACTAATAATAATTTAAAAAATTGTTAGGTTTAATTTTAATCACTAGTTATTATTCATAATTATGTTTAAACACGTTTATTTGGAGATTTATTTTTCCTATTTTTGTTAATTTTCTAAATATAATTTAATATTTTATAGGATCAAAAAAAAGGGGAATTATTTTCTGTGGGATTTTTTTTCCTGGAGAGTAATCTTCCGGGGAATTATTTTCCTAGATTCCTCTAAATCATTGATAGGAAAAAAAATGAATAGCCCTCCCCTTCCTCCAACATTTTAAGGTTTAGCCAATAAAATACTGCCTAAGGCTCGGAGAGTTGGTTAATAGATGTCCTGACCTTTGTGCCATGAGCAAAATCTTCATCGAGTAACATTTTTCTGGATAATATTGAGTTAGCCGTTTTTAAAAATCGACTACAAAATCGAGCCGTTTAACAACACTAGTGCCGACAAAAGGGGGCTAGGTATGTTCACGACTTATATGATAGTCACTAAAAATAAGCTGGTTTAAAAAAAACCTTAAAAGTGGTTTAAAAAAGAAAAAGCAAGATAGGTTTAATGACGGATATATGGACTGCGATAAATTCTGTCTAGTGTTGTTAAATTATTTAACCTTAGCCAGCTCTAAAAAGGCTTACCCAAGTTTTGTCTAAAAAAATAGTTCCCATTATTGAGTTGAGGCTAAACTTAGACGTTTAAGTCAATTTTTTAGGGGATAATCTTGACCACGCCATATTGGAGTTGGTCAAAGTTAGGTGATTTAACATCACTAATTCTGTCATTTCGTTAGATAACTATTCATTACATAGGTAAGGATCCTTGATCTAATAGAAATACCGCATGTCTGACGCATATTATAAATATCAGAGACAGCGAATGTATGGATACGTTAAAATAGTAACTAGCATTACTAGCCTTTACGATCTTAGGGGGTCTCAAAATAATTTTTTTTGGCTAACTTTTTCAGAACGACCTCTATTTTTAGATATTTAAAAACAAAAATCAGGGAGCTCGAGTTCTGCCTGAGCTCCCTAGTGGATAGGCATGGAATATTCCAATAGCAAAATCACAAAAATAGTGGAAAAAAAAGGATTAGAAAATGAAGAAAATAAAGGCAATTTATTGTATATACAAAAAAAACATCCCTAGCATTAAAAATTTATTTTTTCGATCATTGTTTAATTATTTATTCTAAAATATGCTGACCGGCGGAAATTTTTTTTTTTTACAGTATTGAAAAAATTAAATTATTAAATATTATAATTTCAAACAAAAAAAACATTTCGTTTTAAATAAATAAATTTTGGATTTGTTTTGTTTTATATTTAAAATATAATATTTTCCTTTCAATTGCAAATGGCCGTGTTTTCAACACGTGGCATCTTTAACAATGATATGTGCCAGCCTTGGATTGGCTGAATCTCTGAAGAAATCCAAATAAAATGGATATTGACTTCTTTTTTTAAAAAAAGAAGATTTAATATTAACCTGTATTTGTAGTCCGGTTACATACCCTATGGCGAACCCGAAAAGTCCGCTACACCCTATAAGTCCCCATAGTTTGGGGTCGCTAAGGAACGGCGCCGAAAGGAAACGTCCGAATTCCCCGTTCCAAATGAGTATGGGAATAAACACGAAGCAGGCGTTGAAATTGTTGTAAAAGGTCAGTCTCCACACACTTTCATCGACGATAGGTAGCAGCTTCTTGAGATAAATGGAATATAAGGCGACGCAAGCACTTGCCAATATCCCGTATAAGCCACCGAGATACGAAAAAGTACCTAATTTTTTTTATTATAATGGTAAAAGATTAGTATACAAATAAAATCAGGAATATGGGAAAAAAGGGAAACCATTAAACCGGAAATAAATGTGTAAACTATTTCCTGATACGTAACGAACCAATAGACTGTAACTATGAATTAAATATATAATTTTTTTAAATTAGCTTTCATTTAATACTCTTATGAAGATTTATTTCAAAGAAGATTTTTACCCCCCCCCCCCCAATCAATGAGCTAGATCAAAGATCCTAGAGGGATAATTGTTAGACGGTTCGTTTTGAGCCGATTTTTAAAAACGGCTAACTCAATATTTCATTCAAATAATATTACGTAAGCTTTAAGATTTTGTTTGTGGAAGGAACAAAGGTTTGGACATCTATTAGCGAAATCTTGAGGCTTATGCAACATTTTTCTGGCTAAAATATTGAGTTAGCCGTGAGCCGTTTAACAACCCTACTCATAACCAGAGTTGGGCAGGTCCTCCGGAAAAAGAATCTAGATACAGATTCTTTTTAAAAAAATGAATCTAAGATACAGATACTAGTATCTTTTTCAAAATATCAGATACAAGATAAAAGATACTTGTATCTTTTACTAAATTAGAGTATCTTAAATACAAGATACTTTTAAATTATCATTACCAATTAAATTAGAATAGTTTATAAAATACAGTTTTTATTATTTATTTGTGAAGAACATAGCATACACATATAAGAATGAATATTTGCAATAATAATATATTTATTGTTGAATTAATTATAATAACCAGGTATTAATAATATTAATTTTTGCCCATTTATAGCTTAAACAGGGAAGTGAGAGTAGTATATTTAATGGGAGTTAAAAAAGTGCAAATAAGAAAAAAAATTAAATCAAATGATTTATTAGAATTTGCAGGTTATTTTCTGTGTTGTTTTAAATATAGCTTATATTCGGAGTATATGGATAAATGGCATCTCTAAAAATTATATACTAGTTTTATTTTATTCATTATCTTTAATAAGTATTTATCATTATCATATATAGTATATAAATAAATATCATTTAAATCTTTTTTCATATTTTTTTTTATATATTTCTTGCAAAATTATTAAATTATATATAAAAAATATGAAAATAATGTACAACATTATATTATTTAATTGTTAATTACATAGAAATTTTCTTTAATGCATTTTAAATTAATTAAATTTTGTAAATTAATACTGAAATGTAATTTTATTTATATCATAAATAAATAAAAGTAACTAATAAAGTTAAATTCTACCTTATTATAATTATTTTATTAAGAGCCTTTTAAAATTATCTAATATTATATATCAATTGTAGCTTAAATATTTCCTTTAATAAGAACTTGCTAAAATAATTAAATATAAAATATATTAGGGATGTGCCGATATTTTTTCTCGGATCGGATGGGGCCGATATTTCACCCATTTTAAAATATCGGTTATAGGTCAATATTATAAAATTTGATCTGATATAAAAATGGCTTCTTTAACAAAAATAAAATGTTAAAAAATGAAAAAAAATAGTTATATCTAAAATCATTTATTTTTATTAATAAAATCGAAATCCATTTTTATGTATATTTTTTTTAGTAATAATAATTAATTAATAAACATTCTATCATATTATTATTTTTTTGCACATTCTGTTTATAAAAGTGTGCGATAATCACTACAGATTCTGTTTTTAGTGAAGCTGGTGATATTGATAGTTACTATCGCCGCAAGTGACCTCTGATAAATCGGAAATATAAGAAATCTTTCCTATATTAATGTTAAATATTATTTTAAATATTTAAAACCATTGTTATCTTTACAGAATACAAAATTAGATATGATATCGGGTAATCGGCCGATATCAATTTAATATCGGATCGGATCGATCTCTAAAAAGTAGTATCGGTATACCCCTAAAAAATATATATCCAAAATGATTTTAATTTGATAATCAACTATCTTCTATAAAAAATTTTAATAACAATTATCTAAGAAGGACTTAAGTATTATAGGTATTATTATGTTAATAATTATAAAAAAAAATGTATACTTTAATATGTTTAACAAGGTTCGTGAGGAGTATGTTCAATCTTTAATAACTTTTTTACTTGTGTATTTTTGACATTCGGCTTGCACCCTGTCCTTTTTCACATGAATTACTATATAAAATTTTCCATCTAGAATTTCAAGATTCAGATTTGACTCAGGAGAACCTATCTCCATAATTTCATCTTCACTACTATAAATGTTAAACATTCTACAAATTAAAAAATATTAAATATAAATAACCTTTACTTATTTAGTTTAGGTGTTGCTATTTTTAATCTATCTATCTTTGTGATCTGTAAAATTTCCAACTAATTTTGGTTATCATTATATTTAAAATATAGCAGGAAAAAATAAAGAAAATAATACAAGATTTCACGAAGAAAATAAAGTTACCTTGTGTGATATGTAAATGTTTTAAACATGAATATTAAAAAGAATCTGTATCTGTATCTTTTTAAAGAAAATGAAAAAGATACAAAATTATTATTCAAAATAAAGGATCTAAGATACAGATACTAGTATCTTATTAAAAATGTCAATAAGATACTGAGTACAAGATACAAAAGGATCTTGTATCTTAGATACAAGTATTCGCGGTACTGCCCAACTCTGCTCATAACTCTGTTTTTGGTTATTGACTGGCAAAACTGATTGACGAAAATCGTCAGACAATAAATATAGGCGAAACCTAAATAAAGTTTAACTAATGAAATCAATGATTTATATATATTAATAAAGTCTGAGTTCCATGCAAAGCTTTTTATAGTAAGGCTAAAAGCATAGGACAGTGTTAGCAAGAACACTTTAATTCCAATAAAAAAAGATATTTAATAAACCAAAAAATCTAAGTTCATTAATCGTTATATTAAATTTTATTAAGGTTAATATCATTGAATTAATCTTGTACCTATTTTTTCAAAAAAAATATTATAAAATTTAATATGATTATAAAATAAATGTTTCAAAATAAAATATGTAACTATTAGCAATTATCGCGATATCGACCTCTTCATAATATCTTCGCGATATAGTTTTCGCTATGAAACTTTCGCGATAAAAGTTTCGCTATAATGTATTAGCTGCGCTAATGTGGATTTGCGATAAAAGTGTCACTATAAAATCACTCCACGATAGAGGACATATGCGATAAAAGTTTCGCAATAAATGTTTAGCTGAATTGATATGGAACTATTAATTTGACTGGTCAAATACACTTATCTGAATTGATATGGAACTATTGATTTGACTGGTCAAATACACTTCTGGTCAATTATGGTAAATGGCCGACTTGCCAACTCTAAAAATGTCTAAATAGCTAAATATAAAAAAATGCAGTTAATCCCTATTTCTTTTTAATTTATAAATTAAATACTAATGATAATATTGATGAATTATAATCTTTGCTTCTGTTTCTCGAATAACTGTACTACATTTTCATTTTGATTTCCGTAAGTGGTAGAGTGCATCTCTGATATTTACATAAATTAGAATAGAATAATGAGCATGTCCTGCCATAAGAATGCACACCTATGTCTAACAAATTATCCAATCAAAATGAGTTTGACTTCTCCTCTGATTATTATGCCCAACTGAGGAATAAATTTTTTTTTTTAAGGCAACAGCATGAGAGGTTTTTAGAGGACAGTTGACAAACCATTGCCGCCTGTCCCATTTATTAAATTCCTGATCATATTGACAATGTAAGATAAATAATGTTGCTATGAAGAGATTTGAAGATGCCAATTTAGATGTAAGTATTAATTATAGTGATCATGACAACTTTTTATCTAACCAATTCAATTCACCAACAAATGGTATCAAGTTTATGATTGAGTGAATGAATCTAGGGGTGTAAAAAAAGTTGGGGTGGGGGATAGCTAAAAAAATATAACAAAGAACAATGTTAAGATTTATATTTATAAAATTATTCTTTTTTTTTATTTATGAAAAAGAAATTAAAATTGAGTGGAGTTATAAAATGATAAGCGATAATAAATTACCAACAAAATATTGGCAGATTAAATTTAAGCTGATTATGATATAGGAAAATTTACAATAAAATATTCATAATTTCATAAGGATTGTAGTAATAAAAAAATTGTGTTCCCCCTTCCAGTTTTTTCATCCCTAGATGAATATAATTTAACAACAAGCATGTTCAAAGAATTTTAATTATGATTCATTTCCATTCCACTATAAGTTTTTGATGAAAAAAAAAATTTGCTAGGAAAATAGATCAACCTCACAAATAAATATAAATGCCACAAATCTTTTTTTTTTTAAAAAAGCAAAATTGAGTTATTCAAATTTTGCTCTTGGAATTAAAAAAAAGTTACGACCACATTCACATATCATCTATTAAGTTATGCCTCAAAAAAATATTTTGATTTTCAAACATAATTAGATAAGATATTTTAGACAACCAAATAGGTAAAATTAAATCTTATTATATATTTACTTATTAAATATAAATATTGAATACCATAATTTTATTTTCAAACCTGTTACATTTTCTTGATCAACTCCCAATAAAAATCCAGCTATAATAATTACACAACACATAATTACTCTAAGGGATGTTCTTTGTCTTAGTATAAAATAAACAAATATCTTATCTTTACATGTATATTTTTCAAAATTCTTATAAAACTTACCACATTAAAAACTGTAGTCAATGATCTTCCAATATAATAAAAAGATATACCAACATGTTTTAAACACAAATTATTGAAAATTATCATTCCTACAAAGATTATTGCTAATGGAAAAGACTAAACAAAATTAATAATAATTAAATTGGTCTACCTCTTCACATATTTTATAATTAATTGGACAAGCTGGTACATTTATTATTCCAACAAATTTGGATAATAAATTAATACTAACACATAAGAGTAAACTTATCACACATTGAAACCACGTTATCATAAGTGGAGTTTTTAGCTTTGAGAATTTATTCATTCATGTGTATATTAAAAAATATACCTGAAAAATTTCATCACTTAGTAGATATTTGTTAATAAAAACTAAAGATATAGAAATAATCCTAAAAAAATGATATAATCATGACGGATTAAATTAGTAAACCAATATAATGCGACAACCAAAAATATAATAAGAGGTTTTGGCAAATGCGATAGTGATTCTTTCATGCTAAGCTAACCTCTCAAACAAATATAAAAAAAATGTTTATCACAAAAACGTCAAACATGTGTGTATAAAGATTTCATGTCTTTAATCGTAAGGAACTTGATCGTAAAATTTTCGTCCATTTCATGATTGGTTATAAAGTCAAATTACGGAAAAATCAATAGTATATAAAAAAAAATTATATTAACATAATTTTATTCAAACGATGTCATATAAAATTACTATTTGAGAAAAGAAATAAAAGTAAGCAATTTAGTAATGTAATTTTAGCAAACAATAACTAATAAGAAAATGAAAAAAGGAAAGGATAGAATTCGAACTATCCCTTATAAATAAAATATAACCTTTTAAATGGTCATAGAAGCTATAAAATATTTACTTTTTGTGTTAATATATTCCATTAACTGTAAAGTAACACTGATTTTTTTATTATTTTTAATTTTCAAATATTATCCTATCCATAAACTTAATAGTTTCTTTTATTATTTTGTTAATTTTACGATTGTTTTCTTAAGAATAATTTTACGATTATTTTCTCAGGAAATACCCAAAAATAAAAAAATTATTATTTTATTATATCTTATATTTTCTAAATATAAAAAGACAAAACTTAATAACTAATGATATTAATTGTTGACAAGAAGGGAAAAGTCTTGCCAATAAATAGAATATTATATGTCGGTTTTGAGAGAATTGCTTTTTCGAAGGGAATAAAATTTTTATTTCAAACAAATTTTTATTATAAAAAGGTAACTAATGATTTTTATAATATAAGATCACTTTTTAGATCCAAGATAAATCATTGAGGTAAAAATGTATATCACATAAAATAACGTTATACAATTTACAAAATATAATATGCCAAACGATATTGTTGATAATGCGCAGAATCATTGACATTATTTTCCAAATAAAAGTTCTACTATCCTTTAAAATGTAATTTAAAAGGGTTAGACATTCTAGGCAAACTCAAACAATATATAATAATGTATTCATTGTGAATGTGGGGTTTTTAATTGAATTCATATCTAAAAAATAACTCTTTTATATTCACAATATTTTGATAGTTGGTAGTAGATCTAAAATAATTTAAGCCTTCTTTTTAAAATTTTTAAAAGGAATACCAGTATAATTAAAAACATGTAATTGTTAATGAGAAAACATTGCCACCGAGGGTGGTGTATATTTTTTAAGGGGTAGGCGTTGGTTTTTGAGGAGTGTTTGCATCCAATGACAATCTTGTCATATATATGCTTCATTCAATAAGTAGACCTAGAGAACTCTAATGGATTTTATTGCCGTAAAACCAGTTTAATAGTGTAAACCCATTTTATGGGAAATCATGAACATGTCTATAAGCTCTAGAATGTTTTTTTAATAAATCTTTGGTGTTTAAAAATATAATAACTTTCATAAAAAAAATTTAAAATAGGATTTATAATTGCTACTCTATTCTAACATCTTATAATTAAATCATTTCACCTGTCATATATATGTCGTCATAGAAGATGAAGAAATTTTATAACACATGACAGATGACAGATTATTAATTTTTTTATATTAACGAAAATCATGGATATTCTATCATTAATAAATATATTATATAATTTAATGATTTTTAAATTCGTATTACATATAATTGATTAATACTTTTATATTTTTATTGAATATTTCATAAATTTTTATTTAATTATTTTAACGAACTAAATTTTGGGGATAAAATGGATGTGAAGCAGCCACTCACACTACCTGCTAAATTCTGGAAAATAGCGATGCCTATCTCCATATATTTTAAAACTCGATTTTAACAACGCTTTCAGAAGCATTAACAGAAATCACTTTATTTTTGCCTTCACCCATAATTTTAAGAATAAGCGCAAATAATTCTAGGTTACTATTTGACTCCAACAGCTCTAAAATTTGATACACATATTATCCAATCCCAAAGGTATAAATTACTGACTTTAGTCCAGAATTATTTTGTTTAGATCCAATGGATAATATCTGTTACAAATGCTAAATGCAATTTAATCAATAATTTGTAACCTTGATGATAGTACTGTCGTGCCCTCTTTCTGAAACATTGAAAATCCCCATCATCATTAATAATTTAACTGGTATATGAAAACACGAGCTCTGGTCTCGGCTTTCCCTTTTTCCTCAATATGAAATGATACATAACAGCTCCGAACTAATCGGTCAAGAACAGAGATAGTTGGGGAAGCTGCAGTTACAATTTTTTGAACAGACTCACAATGATGATCAAATCATGACGCCTTGTTTCCTATCAAAAATTCTTTATACATTCATTTAATATTTTTACATATAGATTCCCTATCAAAATACGAGATATTAATAAAATCCTGTTTAGAAAGAATAATATACATTGAATTTTGATAGTTGTCATGTATGCAAGCATCCTCTAAAAAGTGAAGGAATCTGCATCCGATCCGCCCTTCCTATTACTGGCAGCTTTTATATCTTCAAGTTTCGCACCCGAAATTTTAATTAATCAATTTAATATTTTAGACCAGTATCTTAAGACATCCCTGAAAATTTATGATTAAAACACTCTACTAAAAACACCCCGAATAATAAGCATCATTAAAAAAGACAAGGATATTCTTATGTTGCGCATTCCATGGTTTATCTTTTATTGAACCAATTAAAGGAATTTAACAATCTTCCCTATCCATAATCATAATGGTTACTAATGATTAGACGCTAAATATATTAAGACCATTATATATATCACTGATATAGGCATTCATACCCAATGTAATTAACATAACCAACATGGCACTATCAGACAATATACCTTCTACCTTAGAACCTGATAAAAGACAATAAAAAACTAGACTGTATCACCTTACGCCTTGATTAAAAAGCCAATCTTGTACACATGCCCTTGAAAAATCAAACATTCAATAGGCATTCATTAGTAAAAAACCATTTTTAATATACCTTTGCAACCTATATCTCTCAAATCTTTAATTAACCCTAATCCATATCTCTCTAGCCTTTAATATATTTGTTTAGTTTTAAATATATTTTATCCAATCTAATTAAAAATTTCCAGTAGTTGCAAATTTCTTGAGTTGGGTTATTATAAAAAAAATATTAGTTTTAATATAAATATTTTTAAATTATGCGACTTGAAATTGAAATTTAAATGATGAATTTCTTGTTGTCTATATATTATATTTGATAAAATGTTTAAAATGCATGTTTTCCTTCCGCCATCTTTCTAACTTTTGACGTGAATCAGTGGTTACATGATATTTTTAAATTTTGATTTTTTTTAAAATTTATTATTTTTCCCTCTATTAGATGAACTCGTTTATCGAGAATCAATTTATTTGGCTAAAGAATGAGAGAGAGGCAGAGATAAAAAAATTAAAGTATTTCTAAATATTAATGCAATGCCAATATATAATTAAGTCAACGGCGAAATTTATGTGATGAGGACAAGGGTGATGGAAACTTGTCTAACCTTACTCTTATTAGGGTGTATATAAGTAAATCATGCCATCTGATGTTAGAGTTTGAAAAGACTAATCGTAGTTCTTTACCAGCATCATATTTTTCTCAAAGTAGATTATAATATACTTATAAATATCTATCTTATTTAGGTGATGTTGTTGAGTTAATTAATATTTATTGGGATATAAAACAAATAAAAGAAAATACCTCCAAAACAATTCAATCAAGCACTAATTTAGATTTTTATCCAAACATATATTTTAATAATTTAGATCAAAATAATACTTTAATAAGAAATTTGCCAATTGATCATCTGTATATTGAAAATATTAGATCTAACTGTTACAATAATGTGAACACTAAGCTTAATAACACTTTTATATATGGAATGAAAAAGATCAACCTTGAAGATAATATTAATAGCATTAGATGTAGAGTAGAGAATCTTGATAAAAATGTTATTACCCTGGTGTCAGATACTTATAATTTAAATAAGTTTTGTAAATTTATGATTAAATCCAAAAGACAGAATAATAATTCTGGAAATGATGGATTTAAAATACTATCTTCATTTGATGATACCCCATATAGGCGAATGACAAGGTACCACCTTTAAAAAATAAAATTTAATCCCTTTTTTTAAATTTTATAAAATCCTTAAATTTTTAATCTGATTGTCATTTGTTTGAAATATCTTTTGTGCAAAATTTATTGCTACCAATGGTTTTAGAACTATTTGTGCCTTACAAATCAAGCTGATTAATTGCATATTTATATTTTCTCATTTTTTCTATTCAATATATGATTCTCATGAAAAATAAATTGTTAGATGATAATTTAAAATATATTTTCCAATTAAGATAACATAAACTGCATTTATAGTAAGTGGGATTTGCTTAAGCTATGCAATCTATTGATAGCAAAATTACAGCTGATTCTTTGCATTATAATGATATATGTAAACAACTCTCACAATCAGAGACCTTCATGAACCGGGTATCAGTCTAATATCATATTTTCTAGCAGGTCTGGGCCAGACCTGGGTTAAAAAAAATTTTTTTTAATGGGCTAGGTGCCATAACTGTTTATATATATATGTAATGTCAATCATTTTATACTGACATTTTTTTATCGTTTTTGTGTAGTGTTAAACGGCTCGTTTTGAGTCGATTTTTCAAAACGGCTAACTCAATATTTTTATTAGAAAAATATTGCTTAAGCCTTGAGATTTTGATAATATATGTCTAAACCTTTGTTCCTTCTATGAGCAAATTCTTCAGGGTTGCGTAATGGATGAAATATTGAGTTAGCCGTTTTTAAAAATCGACTCAAAACGAGCCGTTTAACAACACTATTTTTGTGTAATCAATTTTTTTCAAATCATTATTAATTTGTGCTTACATTTTCAAAAATTATTAATTTTTTCAATATTTTTTATCAATTTTTTTATAATGATCAATTTTTTTCTTTGAAGTTTCTCAAAATAATGTTAATAATTATCACTTTTCTGATAATATTTTGTTTTAATTATATT